ATAGAGACAGAAAGCGAGAAATCACCCCCCAGGGGGGATGGTCACGCCGCAATCCCTTCTCCTCCATTCTCCTCTCGGGATCTTGGGCATGCACGTGAGTTTTAAGCCACCGGGTTCGGGACACAAACCGCGGTTGACTACGTGGGAGTCCAGCGACATAGCCATTACGCTAACTGCTGGTTCCCTCCTTTTTTTTTTTGTATAAGAATTCAACATATTTACATGAGAGTACGTGAACTTAGTTGAATCAAATATATCTTTGTAAATTGATATTAACTAGGAGGTTTCCTTCTCCAAAGGAATTCAGGAGATTTATGGTAAAAAAAAAAAAAAAAAAAGTCTGCATCACCTTGTAATGCGCTGAAGAAACAGCATTTTCACACATTTTGGCTTTCTGCTTTTCTTTCTTTCTTTTTTTTTTTTTTGGAGAAATTTTTGCTATAGGGCATGCGTGCTTGTCAAAAAGACAGACAGACAAAGAGACAGAAAGCAAGAAATCACCCCTCAGGTGGGATGGTCATGCCACAATAGCTTCTCCATTATCTTCTTGGGATCTTGGGCACGCACGCACACGCTCCTGGCGTGAGTTTAAGCCACCGGGTCTGGGACTCGAACTGCAGTCAAATACATGAGAGTCCAGCAACATAGTCATTACACTAACTGCTGGCCCCCAGCTTTCTGCTTTTCTAATAATGACATTCAATCACTAACACATAACAGAGTGAAATCATACATTCAATGATGTCAGTGTGAAATCTTCTAAAGTCTTCATTTGGATTTTGAAAACCCTGTTTCTTGTTACCCCAATATTGCATTCTTAGATTAAAATATTTAAAAACAAAACGAGTAAAATCTCAAATGTGTAACTATTCAGAGATATATTTCACAGAGAAGATAGACTGATCTGCTAGCAGAGTTCCATCTGGTAACCTAGAAGCTCAACCTAGCACGACTTGTTCATAACAATACCTTACATTTACAGGACACGGAATGGTTTATTAAGTCTTTTTATAGGATTTATGTACAAATTCCCATAATACTAGCAATATAAGTTGTAGAAACTGTTAGATGATCTATGTAGGGGAATGGGCCTAATTTTATTGATTCTCAGTTAAAAGTTGGAATGAGTACTGACAATAACAGTTTTCCCTTTCGCAGCTTATGAACCAATTTTGTATGATTTACTATAGTGCCAAGAAGAAGAAACTCTCATTTGCCTAAAAAAGTATTCATTAGTTACAGTGAAAATGTGTGAAGGGGCCACTACCAATGCAGAGAAGCAGGCAATTATCTTCATTTGACATTACAGACATACCCTTCAGTAGTTGTATTTTGTACAGGATTTCTGACTACAATTTGTAAATCTTGAAAACATTAGAGCCTTGTTTTTCTCCAACTGAATATCCTGGCCTCATCTATGAGGCCGTGAGGTTTGAGTGGACTATGGCTGGGTAATTGTCCGTATTATGTTGGGGACTTGAATTATCACAAGTGACAGTCAGCACCATCAATATTGATCAGATAATTGTACAATTCCCAAACTGACTTAAAAATCAACAGATTGATTTCAGAAAGAAATAATCTATTGAGCTTTTGTCTTGTTCTTCTCTTTTTACTCTTAACCTTTTTGTGTCCCCATCCCCAAGCGTTTTACCACATGTTAAGAAGTGATTTGCTCTGTGGTTTTCCCCTTTCAAAAGGAAACCTGGTTTTCCCAGGAGAGAGAGGTGATATTAGGTAGCTAACTAAGAACTAGAGGATTTTCAACCCTATTAAGGTTATTTTAATGGAAATTTACAATATCAAATTTCTTGAGCTCTCAGGAAACACAGTGAATAGGAACTGAACTTACATTTGCTTATTTTCTCTTATCTTTATTTCCTATCCTAATACTTGTTTATAAACTGCATGAAGGAAGATGATTAGCCAAGATAATATAAATTTTCTAAGCTGCAGGGAGTAAGAAGCGGATATAAATGTAAATTGTAGAAAGCTAAAAATTTATACTCTCCTTTAACCCTAACCTTGTTTATTTCCTGTTGTGTTTCTGCTAAATGTAAATTTTATTCATTGGTTGAGTTTAATATATGTGACCCACACAGAAATAATTTTGCCTATTTACTGAATACCTCATGGGAAGATGTAGAAGATGCTTAATAGTTTATGTATGTGAAATTTATTTCACTCTCAAATGATGCTAAACAAAAATTATATAGTTTTCTCATGATGTTCAGTTTTATTTTTCCATTAAAAGTTAGCATGAATTAAATGATCCATACCAAAGATGTCATAAGAAAGGTGCATGCTATCAACAAAATAATGTCTGATACAATCTTAGAGACTAGGATTTAAAACTAAAAATGGTAATTAATGTGCCTAATTATAAAAAAATATAGTCCACTAAGAAAACACCTGGATACTTAAACCAAAGAAAGAGATATAAGCAAGATGCTATATTTTGACAACTAAAAGAGCATTAAAGTATTCCAGACTCAGTAAAATTGGTAATAACTTGATGTTACATGGAATAGTTTTATTGTAGTTTTGTGGATTGTTATAAAGATTTGACCATATTTTTAAACCACTTTATAATACACTTAAGTAAGGAAAGTGGAGGCAAAAAGAAAAAAAAATATAGAAAGAAATTGTTATGTGAGGTTCTTTTCTCCTCTAATGGGTGGGTGAAACAGGGAGTTGGAAAAAGACACGAGGGGCTGATGTCATGTTGTTTATTGGCTGATTTTAGGGAGAGCTTACAGAGCTCTAGTAGCACTCACAGGGTGCTTCCTCTCTCTTGGAGCTTGTAATGCCTGTGGAGAGCACTCAGAAATGCTGTATCTCTCAGAGCTCACAGAGTCTACAACAGTGCAGAGCTGAGCTGAGCCGAGCCAAGGCTATCAGAACTCACCAAAGACAGGAGGACTGAGCAGGGCTTAGCAGGGCCAAGCTGAGCAGGGCTAGCTAGTAGAATCAGGGGCTGTGTTTCTCTTAAAGAAGCTTCAGACAATAGTGGCTCATTGCCAAAAAGCAAATCTATGTATTAGGTGCATTCATATTACACAAAAGCAAGTATTTGTTATATAATCAGTATACAAGCACACCACAACTGATAACGTAAGTTGTTTATATTGTGGCCTTCAAACACAATAAGGTAAGAAATGAGGGAGTCAGACTAAACCATCCTGACTCCATTTTCTTTACAGAAATAAAGGAAGTAGTTGGTTAGATAATTTATTTAAGTTTTAACAACTATTAGAAAGAAGCCAACAATTATTTGAATGTGTTTTTAGACTGTGCAATGTAACTGGTATATAATTGAATGGGATTTTTCTAACCTAGTTTGAGTTCCATTGAAAGACTGAAGACTTGTAGGGATCCAAGTATTTGATAAAAATGTTAACAATTTTGAATTTTATTAATCTTATGATCAAAGTAATCTTTCATTGTGGTTTTCCGTGATACTTCTCAGCTGAAGCTGAATTTAATAAAATAAAATGTTTGCTTTAGATGTCAATGTTTACCTTCTATTCTGTGAACAATTGTATTCTCTTGAGTCCAAAGGGATTCTAATTTTTTCTTGTAAGAGTCCATATTTATTCAATTATGAGAAACTCTAAATCAGAGAATTGGATAAATTACAGTATTAAAAAATGTTAATGACTGGAGTAAGAGCATACCAGCACATACAGAGGTCAGCAAACTTTTTCTTGGAGGATAAGATAGAAAATATTTTAAGCTTTATAATTCAAGAAACAAAATCAAGGATAGTCTGTAGGTACTTCAGTGACAAAAGAGAAAACTAATTCAAGATTCTTTCCCCAGTTAGTTATATGTGGAATTATGATCCTTAGTCAAGGAGACCAAAAACCAAACCAAACCAAAACAAAACAAAATAAAACTGGCAGTGGGCTGGATTTGGCCAATCAATTTTAGTTTGCTAA